TTTGAAACAGAGTCTTGCTTGCTCTGTCGCCCAGGCTGGAGTGCAGTGGCACAATCTCAGCTCGCTGCAAATTCTGCCTCCTAGGTTCAAGTGATTCTCCTGCGTCAGCCTCCCTAGTAGCTGGGATTACAGGCATGCACCACCACACCTGGCTAATTTTTTATTTTTTAGTAGAGATGGGGTTTCACCATGTTGGCCAGGGTAGTCTTGAACTCCTGACCTCATGATCTGCCTGCCTTTGCTTCCCAGAGTTCTGGGATTACAGACATGAGCCACCACACCCAGCCTGTTGTTTTCTAGTAGAGACAGGGTCTCACTGTGTTGCTCAGGCTGGTCTTGAACTAGGGTCAAGCAATCCTCCCACTTTGGCGTTCGAGAAAGTGCTGGAATTACAGGCATGAGTTACTGAGACCTGGCAAAATGACAGGTCCCCCTGGGCAACAGCAGAAAAATGGGTTTCATAAAGTGGGAACAAAAAAAACCTGATCAATGCCGGGCGCGGTGGCTCAGGCTTGTAATCTCAGCACTTTGAGAGGCTGAGGCGGGTGGATGGCCTGAGCCCATGAGTTCCAGACCAGCCTGGCCAACATGGCGAAACCCCATCTCTACTAAAGATACAAAAATTAACTGGGTGCGGTGGCCCTCGCCTGTGATCCCAGCTACTCCAGAGGCTGAGGCAGGAGAGTTGCTTGAATCCTGGAGGCAGAGGCTGCAGTGAACTGAGATCACGCCACTACACTCCAGCCTGGGTGACAGAGCAAGACTGTTTCAAAAGAAAAAAAGAAAAAGAAGAAAGAAAGAGAGAGAGAGAGAAAGAAAGAAAGAAAGAAAGAAAAAGACAGATGGAGTTGAAGTCCAGCCTCGATGGCTCATGCCTGTAATCCCAGCACTTTGGGAGGCCGAGGCAGGTGGACCATGAAGTCAGGGGTTCAAGACCAGCCTGACCAACATGGTGAAACCCAGTCTCTACTAAAAATACAAAAATTAGTCAGGCGAGGTGGCATGTTCCTGTAATCCCAGCTACCCAGGAGAGCTGAGGCAGGAGAATCGCTTGAACCCGGGAGGCGGAGGTTGCAGTGAGCTGAGATCGAGCCACTGCACTCCAGCCTGGGTGACAGAGCGAAACTCCATCTCAAAAAAGAAAGAAAGAGAGTGAGAATTGAACAATGAGAACACATGGACACAGGGAGAGGGACATCATACGCCGGGGCCTGCCAGGGGGTGGGGCACTGGGAGAGGGATAGCATTAGGAGAAATACCTAAGGTAGATTATGGGTTGATGGGTACAACAAGCCCCCATGGTATGTGTATACCTATGTAACAAACCTGCATGTTCTGCACGTGTACCCCAGAACTTAAAGTATAATAATAAAAAAAAATGAATCCACTGTAGATGTATGGATTTGGTTGTGGGTTCTCCATTCTGTTCCATTTGTCTATGTGTCTGTTTTTGTGCCAGTACGATGCTGTTTTGGTTACTGTAGGTCTGTTGTATAATTGAATGTTGGGTAATGGGATTCCTCCTGTTTTTGTTATTTTTGCTCAGGACAGCTTTGGCTAGCCTAGGTTTTTTGTGATTTCATCTAAATTTAGAACTGTTTTTTGAGACGGCGTGATCTCGGCTCACTGCAACCGCAGCAGAGGAAGGAGTTTGTTCAGCCCGGAGCAAGATGGCATATTTGCCTAACAGCCAAGCTCCCCTAACAAAGGAAGGCTCCTTCTTCATATAGGTTTATACTTTAGATGGAAGAATCTTAGGTTTATAGCTTAACCTATGAAAAGGGTCGCAGTTTACAGTCTTAGGAATTACATATGAAAAGGGTTTCAGTTTAGTCTTAGGAATTACATATGAAAAGGGGAAGTTTACAGTCTTAGGATAAGGATCTCAGTTGACAGTCTCAGGAATTACATATGAAACCAGGAAGTTTTTTTTTTTTTTTTTTTT